CTTCTCGGCTTCCTGGCTCAGCGGCTTTACGGCTTTTTGGCTGTGTGGCTGTTTGGCTTTTTGGCTTTGTGGCTTCTCACCCCTGAAGCCATAAACCCTTAAGTCACCCTCTGCCACGTAAACATTCAAGCCCTTATCCCTAAATCCCTAAACCCTAAAACACTTAAGTCCTCAACTCTAAATCCACAAAACTTTCAATGCCGAACCCTAAATTCACAAAAACCTTCAATACATCGCCAAAAGTCCTCCACCCTAAATCACCCAAAACCCTTTAAACAAAAACCTCCCAAGACCCTCAGTCCCCACCCATAGGCTCCATTGCAGTTCCATGTTGGGGGTATTGACACCTCTAAACCCTAACCAAAACCCTACCCGAGTCTACACCTTAGATGCAGGCTTTTGAAGGCGAGAGTTCTTTAAGGGTTCTACAAGAAATCACGTAGTAAGGGTCCTACAATATTGGGGCCTTCCTGCGGGATAACCCAAAACCCCTAAACCCTAAACCCAGATACTGGCTTTCCCCGACCTCTGAAGGCTTTGATGTATTCTAGCCAATGCTGCCATCGACAGGGTTTAGTGTTTAGGGGTTTAGGGTTTAGGGTTTAGGGCTTAGGGCTTAGGGTTTAGGGTTTAGGGTTTAGGGTTTAGGGTTTAGGCAGGCTCAAGTTTCAGCTCCGGAAAGGTTCCTTGAATGATGGGCTGACCTCTAGAGCCCGAAAACCCCCCAGCCCCTCGACCCCAGAACCCCAATGCAGCTCTAGCACCCCAAAGCCCCCAATCCCAAAAACCCTACAGTCCTAAAGCCCTAAAGCCCTAAACCCTAAAACTAAAGCCGTTGTAGCAACCTAAACACCCTAAAACCATAAGACCCTGAACACCCAAAAACCCTAAAGCCCCAAAAACACTAAACATCCGAAAGCCTGAAACCCTAAACCCCACTGTAGGGGCCTAAATAATTACCAGTACTAGTTTTGGGGCCCCCAAAACACTATTCTAATTATTAAGGCCCCCATACCTTAAACCTTTGTATTAGCTCTATCGAACCCTTTAGGGAACCCGTTAAAGGAACCCCCAAAACCCTTTTCTAATATTAAGGCCCCTATACCAAACGACTCCGAACTCCATATCCTGAAAGCTCCCTTATTGAACCATTTCCCGGAACCCTTCTACTACCCTTTAAAAACCCCTAAACCCCTAAGCCCCGTAATATCGAACCCTTCAAGGACTTACTTCCCCAATAAGCCACGAAGCTAAACGCTTAAACTTTCAGATTACTACTAAAATTATCATAAAAACCCAAAATGTTTAAAGCTTTTGTATTGGAGAACTAAGTTAACCCTAAACCCAAAACCCCTAAACTCCTAAGCCCCTTAACTCTAAACCCTAAACCCCTAAACCCTAAACCCCTAAAGCCCTAAACCCCTAAACCCTAAAATCTGAACCCCTAAACCCTAAACACCTAAACTCACGAACCCCTAAACCCTAAACCCTAAGACCCTAAACCCCAAAACCCTTAAACACCCTAAGACCCTAAAACACCCTAAACCCCTAAGGCCTTAAACTCCTAAGACCCTAAACCCGTAAACCCTATAAACCCTAAACCCCTAAACCCTAAATCCCTAAACTCCTAAACCCTAAACCACCCCTACACCCCAAGCCCCTAACCCCTAAACCCTAAACCCATAAGACCCTGAACAAAAAAACCTTAAGACCCCAAAAAGCCCTAAACCCCTAAGACCCTTAACATATAGAGAAACTTAAGGTTTTGGCTGTGAAATTAAAACAAAATCCAGAT